TTTTGTAGGATTATCAGAGTTGCAATATATATTTTTACTTATTGCTTGGTACTTCTTTTAATATTTTGTCATTTTTAAAATGAACTTGAGTTCTCTTAGCAAAATATTTACTATATAAAGTCTTGATGTCTTTGTGACATGTAGCTTTTTACATGCAGATAATCAACTTTAACCTGCAAAGTGACTCTGGAGCTACTCTCATTTCCCATCTTTCTAATATACCAACAGCATTTTTTAACAAAAACGCTGCGTGGGACTTATCTGGTGCAATCGAAGCAGAGGGCAGGGAAAGATATGACATACATAATATGATGAAATGAAAAAGATTGGGACGAGCTCCCTGTGTGTGCTCCAACTTCTTTCTTCTTTCAGCATAACTTCATTTGCATCAGGCTCCAAGGGGCGTTGACCCTTGCTGAGAGAGGAATCATTTCATTTTTTCTGGCTGGTCTGTTGGTTTTTGGCAGCTGCTTTCTGCAGCTGAACAGTCCAGCTTCACTGTATCACAGTTACAGTAATATCACAATACATAGTAACAAACAACACTGCTAAGCTACAGGTTTTAAAGGGTCGGACACAAAAAAAAAAGAGAGACTTGATCTTAACTTCTGAATAGTTTTATATCCATTGTTTATTTACTTCTCCAACTACAAAATAAAACTCTCAAAGGCATGAAATTACATACAACATTTATATATTCTCCTGGCATTATGCTTCATAAACATGCTGCTGAAACAGTAGTAAACTTTATTGAACACCAACACATGTTCGGAATTCACAGAGGACTCGTTTGGCGTTTCCAACACGGCCACAAAACAGACAACTATTCTAAACAGTTTGTTGAAAGTTAAGTTGACTTTGAGGCCAATAATAATGGGTTAAGACATTTTTTACTTAACTTTTTCACATGATTTTTCCAGAACTTTTCTGCTGACTGCAAGCAAGGGAGTAGTCCCTAAATCACACCACTGTGGTCAGTGAGATGCCTCTTATAAACATTCATAGTCAGACCAGTCAGACCCAGAAATAAGCTCCCTCTTGTATCCAAGAGGCTAGAGGGGTCTACAGAGCACTGGTACAAATTCCTGCTCTTGGAATAACTGCAGCACTTTAGGTGTTATTTATCCTCTATGGTGTAGCATTTAGTTTATGTAATGGTGGTGTTTGTGGTATTACAGTATAATAAAAGGGTTCACTGAGTAAAAGTTTGGAAGTTTATCATAACTTTCAGCAGTGTTTCCAACACTTTTGGTATGCGACCTCTGACAACATAAAACAACTCAAATCCCTTATCCCTCCTTGCATGTGTCTCAAACGTGTGATTAGGCGCTGCTGGCTCTACTGTGAGGTCTCTGGTGTATCTACCCTTCCACACCTTGTTTTGTTTTCTTTTGACATCTTTTTGATATTCCAAGATGAGACACAGAATTGATTTTTTTAGAAGACTGCTTTTGTACAGTAAATGAATCGACTGGATAGGAGCTCAGAGGTGTCAAATTCGCTAGATGCCAACCAAACTTGATGAGCCCATCTTGTTCATCTACTTTTAGTCTATTTTCATGAGCAAACTGGAGCAGCCCGTCTCTGTCCCTATTCAGGGTTTAGCTTTTAATTGGCAACAGCTGCCCTCTCAAACCTCAGAGTGATAAAGTATCACTCTTTTAAATGTTTGGATGCAGACATCCAGTCCTTCAAACAGCTACTGACTTCAGTCCTGACAAACAAGCGTATATTTGGGACGTGACTCCAGTGGCACAGCACACAGCAACTCAAGGCAGTTAAATGGTTGTTATTCCTACTTGATTCTTAGAGGGGTTTTTTGTATCTCTGCACTGGGAAGTCGGTGTGCTGCACTTTAGAGCTCCAGTAGAGGGCAACAAAAGCCCAAATATATTGCCATGAACTGAAGCGACATATTTTCATAAACTCTGCAGCAACACTTTTATTTTCAAACCAATTGAACCAGTCCTGACTGCAAACAGATGGGCACTCTTCATTGCTGTTACTGTTGCCAGTGGAATTTGTTACAGGAATGCCACTCCTA